TATTAGAAGTGATTAGTTGCTATAGAGTACCACTGACCTGATCCAGACCCCTCCCATTAATGGAAAAAATAAATGTAAAAAATGTTTAAAGCCAACTGCAGGTTTTATTTAACTTTTAAATAGATCGATTGGACCAAGTTGGTCCAAACAAACTATTTCTTTCACTAATACAGTCAGGTCCATAAATATTGGGACATCGACACAATTCTAACATTTTCGGCTCTATTCACCACCACAATGGATTTGAAATGAAACGAACAAGATGTGCTTTAACTGCAGACTGTCAGCTTTAATTTGAGGGTATTTACATCCAAATCAGGTGAACGGTGTAGGAATTACAACAGTTTGCATATGTGCCTCCCACTTGTTAAGGGACCAAAAGTAATGGGACAATTGGCTTCTCAGCTGTTCCATGGCCAGGTGTGTGTTATTCCCTCATTATCCCAATTACAATGAGCAGATAAAAGGTCCAGAGTTCATTTCAAGTGTGCTATTTGCATTTGGAATCTGTTGCTGTCAACTCTCAAGATAAGATCCAAAGAGCTGTCACTATCAGTGAAGCAAGCCATCATTAGGCTGAAAAAAACAAAACAAACCCATCAGAGAGATAGCAAAAACATTAGGTGTGGCCAAACAACTGTTTGGAACATTCTTAAAAAGAAGGAACGCACCGGTGAGCTCAGCAACACCAAAAGACCCGGATGGCTGCCAATGGAACTGGTTCTCTTGTATTTATTGATGATGTGACTGCTGACAAAAGCAGCAGGATGAATTCTGAAGTGTTTCGGGAATATTATCTGCTCATATTCAGCCAAATGCTTCAGAACTCATTGGACGCTTCACAGTGCAGATGGACAATGACCCCCAAGCATACTGCAAAAGCAACCAAAGAGTTTAAGGGAAAGAAGTGGAATGTTCTGCAATGGCCAAGTCATTCACCTGACCTGAATCCGATTGAGCATGCATTTCACTTGCTGAAGACAAAACTGAAGGGAAAATGCCCCAAGAACAAGCAGGAACTGAAGACAGTTGCAGTAGAGGCCTGGCAGAGCATCACCAGGGATGAAACCTAGCGTCTGGTGATGTCTATGCGTTCCAGACATCAGGCTGTAATTGACTGCAAAGGATTTGCAACCAAGTATTAAAAAGTGAAAGTCTTGATTTATGATTATTATTCTGTCCCATTACTTTTGGTCCCTTAACAAGTGGGAGGCACATATGCAAACTGTTGTAATTCTTACACCGTTCACCTGATTTGGATGTAAATACCCTCAAATTATAGCTGACAGTCTGCAGTTAAAGCACACCTTGTTCGTTTTATTTCAAATCCATTGTGGTGGTGTATAGAGCCAAAAATGTTAGAATTGATGTCCCAATATTTATGGACCAACTGTATATGCCCCAGCTGTCAGCGCTGTCTAGGCTGTATGTAGCATGAGCTACATACAGTATACACCCCTGTGTTCATGCAGGCTTGTGGGAACTTTCCATTTCGTTGCTGAAACAAAATCTGGTTGGGCTGAGTGCTACTCAGCCATTCACAATAAACTGTATTTTATGAATGATTATAAGGCTTCTTCTTGCTGAGGTGGAAATTGTGACATCTACTGCCATCTTCACTTCAGCCAATTAGAGGAAGCCTTTTATTCATTTATAAAATACAAAGCTTGTAAATGACTCTGCAGCGCTCAGCCCGACAAGTTCTGGGAATGGGAATGTCCCTGCATGTGTACTGTATTTAGCTGATGCTGCATATAGTTTATACAGTGCTGGCAGCAGTTGCATGTATTAGTGAAATTAGCAGTGAGAACTATTTAAAGCGGAGTTCCACTCACCCTGTCAAAAAATAAAAGTCAGCAGCTACAAAAACTGTAGCTGCTGACTTTTTAAAAAACAGCCATTTACCTGTCCCTCGGTCCCGTGGTGTGTCCCCCGCAGCCCGTTTCACCGGCTGTCCTGTATTCCAGGAGGCTGGCATCTTCAGTGTGGGCACCCAACTGTGATAGCTTGCAGCTTTACAGCCGGGTACCCACTGGGCATACGCGAGTAGCGCTGCGCTTCATGAATGGTCCTGTAGTCTTCTAGGACCTGTCACGTGTCCCAAAAGACTACAGGGAGGGAGGGAGGACACCTTCCGATCGCCATCACCTAGGTGATTGGACCGGAAATGGGAGCGGGTGCCTGTCAAATTCGGGTATCCGCTCAATCCCCCCACCGCCCCCCAAAGGTGCCAATCCTTAATGGGGAGCGGTGGAGCCGTCCTTAAAGCGGAACTTCCCCTTTTGGGTGGAGATCCGCTTTAAGGTTTTAATGAAATCTGGAGTTGGCTTTAAAAATGTATTCCATCCTCAGACTTTATACCCAGATCCCAACAGTTACATTGGCTGATCCGAATGACATTTGTTTTTACTGCCTGAGTAGAAAGCTCTCACATAACCAATACAATGTTGTTAGATTCTAAAAATCGCAAACCTTTGAAAATGTCACCATCATTCTAAAGCCAATCATACATGGATCAAAATTCTTCCAGTTTAGCAGGGACTGGACATATTGTGATCCATGCATGAGCAGGCTGGTTGTACTGAAGATGCTGTATCAATCAACTTCAGTACAACCAGCCTATCGGATATTTTTCACCTGATCACTCTCGACGGCTATAGGCACAAGCTGTGATCATTGTGTTCTGCCGGTAGGGAAGGCTTCTTGTCCGCAGAACACAATAGCGCACAGTCAGTGTTGATGGGGAATCAAGCGATTTTCTTTCTTCAACCTGTATTTGAAGGAAAGAAAATTGCATAACATGTGGCCTGCCTACTTTGTGACGCTGCCAGTCGTACTTGATCTTATCTGAAAGTGTTAACAATTTACGCAAGCCGTTTTTTGTTTTTTTTGTGTGTGTTTCTGCATGCATTGCAGTTTAGCTTCAAAAGGGGAATAAAGCTCTTCTAAATTGAAACGTAAACATTTTTTTTTCAGCTTTATCATTCGGCCATCTTCCATCAAAGTCTCACTAATGGGATGTCTTTTTTACATTTGCGACTAGCTGCAAGAGACGGCCTCATTAAAAGAAAAGGGAGGCTGCCAGCTCCTGCAGCTAATCACGCCCACTCATGTAATCACTCATGCAGCAATCACATGCGAATGATCAGCCCTGGATACAGACTGCCTGTGTGAGATAATTGACCATCAACATGCAGAGATGCATGCTGAGGTGATTTTTAGTAAATGGTCTGCATTAAGAATAGATGATACTAAACAATACAGTGAAAAACAAACGCATCATTCAATGGTTAATATACAGTATAATGTTCATGCAATGATTATCTACTTTTGGTAAAAACAGGGTTCATAAAAGTTAATGTTTGTGTATGTAAATCATGGAAATAACCGCATGGAAAGTCCCTTGATAAAATACCATCAACAAATTCACTTTACAAAGCGCTTATCAGCTACCAATCTAGTGAAGGTATTTTGTAATGGGAAATTTTTGATCTTGGTATTTTATGTTGATTTTTTGAAGCAAACAAAAACGTTTTGCCAGGAGTTCTTAAAGTGTATATTTAGCCTTTTCTTTTTAATAGAGTAGGGAAGTCTTAGAACTCACGTCAGGTTTTTATTGCCGTGTCTATCCCCACTAGGTAGATGTATCTTCTCTATTTGGTGACTATTGTTCAAGAGACAGGAAGGGAAGAGAAAATCATAATTTTAGCATTGTCACTAGAACAATTCGTGGGAATAAATCTTTCATGGGAACACCTATTATGGTAAAAACGAAGAGACGAATTCCCCTCGCATTGTAGATTTACTCACTTCCTGTTGCTTCTGTAACACAGGAAGTGAAAGGAAATCTTCCTAATCAGACACAATCCAAAGAGATAAACTATGTTTTTTAACCCATTTATACCCTAAAATTAAAAAAAACAAATTTTCAGTGTGTGCATGCATGCTTAGTAATATCAATTTCAGATATATATCTGGAAACTACAGTACTCCTTAAAATGGTACCTTATCTTTTTTTTCCAGAAGTTTGAAGCCATCTTTGTTCCGGTATTATACAGAGTCAAGGGATGGGGAGAGAGGTGCCAAGCTGACAATAATGTAGCAAATTTTATTGAATAAAAAAGGGTATAAAATGCAGTAATTGTTCAATTGGTAATTTTTTCAATGCTCATTACCAGCGATGTCTGTGAGTGCATAATTATTGCAATTTATACCTTTTTTTTTTTTTTTTTTTTTTTTTTTATTTCAATAAAATTTGCTACAGTATTGGCAGCTTGGCACCTCTCTCCCGATCCCTTTTCTCTTTTGTAGCACTTGGGTTCCCAGCAACCTTCCCCAACCAGCGGTGTTAGCAATTAACTGATTACAACCTTACCTCCGGGATTATTTTGTGTGTGTTTAAAAATATCCACATGAAGAAAAAAAAATATTTATTTTTTAATGTATATACCATTACACAGGATTGATGGTTTTATTACCTATATGCAGTTTTTTAAATCCACATGCTGATGATGATTTCCAACTCAGATGCTGACCCAGAATGACACAATTATGTCAGTTCTGATCCACAGTACTTTGCATGTGCCTGGTTGATTGTATTCCTCTTGCCTTGAATTGTGTAAGAAATAGAGTCAGAATGGTGGGAGCTCTTGCATTGCCTGCCTCACGCCTTGTTGCTTTTTTAGGAATCTGTTGATAGTTTTTTTGAGGGCAGAGGTACACGTTTCCCTGAGAATGCCTGCCATGGTGCCATTGTTGTGATGATGTAGGTACTGTACATTCCCAGTACAATAGAATTTTTGCAATGAATAAAGTTCATTAAAGCAAACCCATCTAATATCTTTATTTAGATTCAGTTGTTCCCACGTAAGTTCAAAGCATGGGATATTTTGTTCAGTTGCTTAGTTTATGAAAAGGAATAAATCTGTTTCTGTTGAAATGTGTGGATTTTTTTTTTTCCTTTTGTTAATTACCTGTACTAACTTTTATTTTATGTGTAGGTGTAAATTGCCTCACGTATGATGAAGCTATTATTGCCCAGCAGGATCGTATACAGCAAGAGGTTAGTGCGACACAATATGGGATAACTATGCATGAGGGCAGAGGTACATGGTTTCCTTTATGCACTTCTGTCATTGTAAGCTCACCTATGGATTTCAGTATTCATTAAAGCCCAACTCCATGAATTACAAAAAAAGGGTTATATGCTAGTCACACTCCCTCCATGTGTGCGACTGGTCCTCTAAAGACACTCTAGGCTACTGTTGCACGATGAGGTCATCAAGCACAATGCAGAGCCAATCCTTCATTGTATGTGAGGATGGTAAGGGATTACCCACAACCCAGGGCAGAGGGGAGTGCAGGAGCCTGCTGGAGCGAGGATTAAGGTAAGTATTCTGCCTTAATTCTGATCCCTCAGAGAAAAAATTACACTAACCACTGTCCTTATTCTCCAAAAATAATCTATACACATCCACTGCTTAATGGCCCTATAATCTATTTTTGTACCTACTTGTACTGTCGTCCTTTTCCACTTCCCTTCTGTTTGTTTTGATCAAGCGGTGCATATAGCTTGCAGTTATGTGCACTCTACAAATTCCATAGTTCCAAGTCAATCTTGCCAAGCATAGGAGGGTGGCAATGTTCCTGCATACAATGGCACCATGGAGAATGAACGTAGCCATCCTCATAAAGGTAGTTAGATCACTGCAGTCAAAAAAGGAATTTGGAAATGTGGAGGAGGCTGGGAGTCATAAAATGTACTTTGAGTTAAATTGGAACTACACAGTATCTGAGCACCACAAACCAAAAGTGCTATTTCATTCATTTTTAATAGTCAAAGCAACCTTCCCCATCCATGTCTCCATGCTTTATTTTGCTGAGAAATCACTAAAAAAAAACACCCTTAGCATTTCTGTCCGTGGTCATCTTGAGTAAGGACAACTGATTCATGTAGCAATTACTTCCTGGAATCCATCTGCCCTTAGTTCAGGCATAGAAGCAGGAGAGAGTGCTTAGCTTAGAAAACCCCTCCTGAAGACTCCTGAGATGTATTCCATCATTTGCTTAGGCATGGAAACTAGGAAGTGACTAAAGAAATGTAAAAAAAATTGTTTAAAACAAGTAAATATGACATACTTTTCCTATCTACACTCCTCAAAAAAATTGAAGGAACACTTTGGCAACACATCAGATCTCAATGGGGAAAAATATCAGGCTGGATATCTATACTGATATGGACTGGGTAATGTGTTAGGAATGTAAGGATGCCCCATTGTTTGATTTTCAGGGTGTCTTTGAATTCAGTCCTCTGTAGGTTGATAATTTTCATTTCCATCAAAGTGAAAAAAATGATGCAGCAGGCTAGTTCATTTTGCTGAAATTTCATTGCAGCATCTCAAAATGGTACTCCGTAGTTTGTACGGCCCTCACGTGTGTCAGGGCATGCTCTTAATGAGATGGAAGATGTCCTGGGGTATTTCCTCCCAGATCTGGACCAAGGCCATCACTGAGCTCCTGGACAGTCTGAGGAGCAACCTGACGGCATCAGATGGCCCGAAACATGATTTCCAAGAGGTGTTTGATTGGATTTAGGTCAGGCGAGCATGGGAGCCATTCAATGGTTTCAATTCCTTCGTCCTCCAGGAACTGCCTGCATACTCTCACCACATGATGCCGGGTTTTGTCGTTACATAGTTAGTCTGGCTGTAAAAAGACAAGTCCATCCAGTTCAACCATGAAAAAAAAAAAAAGCACCAGGAGGAGCCCAGGACCCACTTCACCAGCGTAGGGGCTGACAATGGATCCAAGGATTTCATCGCAATACCTAATGGCAGTCAGGGTGCCTTTGTCTAGCTTGTAGAGGTCTGTGCGTCCTTCCATGGATATTCCTTTCCAGACCATTACTGACCCACCACCAAAACAGTCATGCTGAACGATGTTACAGGCAGTGTAAGTTCTCCATGGCTTCTCCAGACCCTTTCACATCTGTTACATGTGCTCAGGGTGAACCTGCTCCCATCTGTGAAAAGCATAGGGTGTCAGTGGTGGACCTGCCAATTCTGGTGTTCATTGCCAAATGCCAATCGAGCTTTATGGTGCTGGGCAGTGAGCACAGGACCCACTAGATTATGTGAGACCACCCTCATGAAGTCTGGTTCTGATTGCTTGGTCAGAGACATTCACACCAGTGGCCTGCTGGAGGTCATTTGTAGGGCTCTGGCAGTGCTCATCCTGTTCCTCCTTGCACAAAGGAGCAGACACTGATCCTGCTGATTGGCTAAGGATCTTCTACGGCACTGTCCAACTCCCCTAGAGTAACTTCCTGTCTCCTGGAATCTCCTCCATGCTCTTGAGACTATGTTGGGAGACACCGTTCAGGTGCCATCCTGGAGGAGTTGGACAGCCTGTGCAACCTCTGTAGGATCCAGGTATCTTCTCTTGCTACCACTAGTGACACTGACCCTAGCCAAATGCAAAACTAGTAAAAAAACAGAAAAGATGAGTAGGGAAAAAATTGTCAGTGGCTTCTACCTGTAAAACCATTCCTGTTTTGGGGGTCATCTCATTGTTGCCCATCTAGTGCACCTGTTGTTAATTTCATTAACACCAAAGCAGCTGAAACTGATTAACAACCCCCTCTGCTACTTAACTGACCAGACCAATATCCCAGGAGTTTGACTTGATGCTATACTGATTAACAGCTTCCTGTCCGCCCTATAGCAGTAACACTGCTACAGGACAGCACGGGTGCGCAAATTCACGTGTATATATACGTGATTTTGCATTTGATTCTCCCTCCTCCCTCAGCCCCCCTCCCCCTTTCAGGAGGAGGATTTCCAGCTGTCAGTTCTGGATAAAATGGACCAGGGCGTAGGACAAGCTAAACATAGTTTTCCGGGTCCATCGGGTATAATCAAACAGGTAAAGAAGGAATGGAAGGATCCAGAAAGGGGCCTTTTTTTCCCCAAATCCTTTAGAAGGTTTCCCTTCAAGGAAGACTAGTCACTTGTATGGAATAAGAAACTGAGGTTGGATGCGGCCTTTTTTGCACGTTTTGAGGCGTACTGGCTTTTGAGGATATGAGCATTCTGAAGGATGCAATGGATAAGAGGGCAGACTCATTCCTTAAAGCATGGGACTGTTCCCTGACCAACCTCAAGCTGGCTTTAGCCTCCACAGTGGTTGTGAGAAATTTATGAGTGCTGGTTAGTACAGCTGATGGATCATGTTGAGGCAGGGACCTTCAGGAGAGAGCTTTTGGAGTCATTCCCGGTCCTTCGAAAAGCCGTAAAATTTATGGCTGATGCATTGGCAGAATCTGTTAAAATGACAGCCAGGTCTTTGGCGTTGGTCAACTCAGCAAGGAGAGCCATCTGGCTCAAGATCTGGTGGGGGACTCTGCATCTAAGGTGAATTTATGCTGAATTTCCTTTTTGGCGGACCTGCTCTTTGGCCCAGATCTGGAATCTGTGCTGGATAGAACAGCGGATAGGAAAAAGGCTTTCCCATTGCAAATAAGAAGCAGCCTGTCAGAATTTTCGTCCTTTTTCACAAACACAAAAAAATAAGGAGCAGACCCAGAAAAGAAATTGGAGTTTCCAGAGAAACCAGGGTAAAGGGGGAGTAATCTTCAGACCCCCAGAGCGACCAACCAAGAGCCAATGACATTTCCCTTCCAGAAGGAGGGAGGCTCCGGGCCGCCTTCTCACAGCGGGAACACACAACATCAAGTGCCTTTTTCAGAAATATCGTGGCCCAAGGGTACGGACTAAAGTTCTTCCGGACCCCACCAACCAGATTTTGTGTGACCAGTCTCTCAAGGAGTCAGGAGATGGCCCCAGCAATGATGTCTCTTTTGAAGGAACTGATGCAGCAGGAAGTCATCATTCACGTACCAAAGGGAGCAAGAAGATCGGTGATTCTACTCGCACATCTTTTTAGTCCAATAGCCTTCGTGGAAGTTACGTTTAATTTTGAATCTGAAATTACTGAACAAGTCCATTCGGTACAAGCACTTCTTCATAGATACAATTTTTTTCAGTGAGGAAGCTGCTATTCCTGGGATTCTTTATGGCGACTATTGATCTGCGGGATGCTTACCTACTTTTTCCAATAGCACTATCTTCTCAGAAATTTCTCTGACTGGCGGTCAATCTGGGGATTGTCCATCTGGCACCTGCAGTTCAAGGCACTACCCTGTGGCCTGTCATCTTCAAGTGTGTTCACAAAGGTCATGGCAAAACACTAGAACTGTTGAGGGGGATTTCGGTGGTGCCATATTTAGACGACCTACTCGTGTTTGCAGAAACCAGGACGCAGGTGCTGTTAGATCTTCAGACGACTTAGGGTCATCTGAGAAGCTTGGGATGGCTGTTAAATCTATAAAAGTCCAACTTGATTCTGGCCCAAAGAGTAAGGTTCTTGGGATATACCATAGATTCCGTACAACAGAGGATATTCCTTCCAGAGGAGAAAATAGAAAGGCTCCAGTCGGCCCTGAGGCAGATTCAGTACAACCTGGTGGTGTTGGTCCGAGTGGCCATGTCGGTTTTAGGACTGCATATCACCACCATCTCAGCAGTTCAGTGGGCCAGATTCCATTCCTGCCCTCTCCAGGGGGACATTCTGCGGAAATGTGGACATATCAAGATCCACTGGACATGCCTATAAGGATCGCTCCAAAGGTGAAGAGGCCGCTTTGGTGGTGGCACCATCCGACCAACTTGGGGAGGGGTCTGCCATGGTCATTTCCGAACACCTAATGACAGATGCAAGTGCATGGGGGTGGGGAGCCCTCTTTGGAGATCAGTTGGCACAGGGCTCGTGGTCCAAAGCGAAGGCTAGGAAGTCTTTAAACTGGAGGGAATTGAAAGCCATCCAGCAGGGTCTTCTTTCCTTTCAGCAGTTGGTGAAGGGGGCAGCACATTTAGGTCCTATTGGACAATACAACAGCGGTAGCTTACATTTCAAAGCAGGGGACTCCTGGAGTTGGCACTAGAGATCCTGTCTTGGGCGGAAAAGAATTTTGGCCTCCCTCTCAGCCATCTACTTAAAGGACTTGCAGAATCGGATGGTGGATTTCTTGAGCAGAAGAAAGATAGTAGAACCCAAGTGGGGATTGAATCAAGAAGTGTTCCAGCTGATCAATGAAGCTTGGGGTATTCCTCAGGTCGACCTGTTTACAAGCCACCTAAATACAAAGGCACCAGTGTTCTTCTCCCTTTTACAGAGAAGACCAGGCAGTGGGCCTGGGCGCGTTAGCTCATCCCTTGATTTACCTTTTGTCCTACACACTCTCTCCATTTCAGCTCATTCCTCTAATACTTGGAAAGTTCATGCACGAAACAACAAATCTAATTCTGATAGCACCCTACTGGTTAAAAAGGCCTTGGTTCTCGATGCTTCATAACCTGTCCTCCAGACCTCCCTGGAAACTGCCGATCAGAAAAGATTTCATAGTTCAGGGGCCGATTCTGCACCCAGAAGTAGGTTGATTCAGCCTAACAGTGTGGTTCTTTTAGGAAGAACTCCTAAGAAGAAAGGGCTTATCGGATAAGCTTATTGCCACCTTATTCTCAAGCTGGAAAGAAGTGACTAGAACAATATACAGTATATGAAAAGTATGGAGAAGGTATAATTCCTGGTTTTCAGAGAAGTTTCGTTTCAGTTAGTTTTTTTTGAAATGGGATTTGTTTTTAGTTTTACAGGGAATCGCAAAGAAACTGAGTCCCTAGAGGAAGCTTTGGTGCGAAATTTAGTTCTAAAAACCATTTTTCTAATTACCATTACGTCAGCTCAAAGGATCAGTGAAATCCAGGCACTGTCGATTTCCAATCCTTTTTTAGTTATTTTTCCGGACTGGGTGGGCCTTAAAATGGATCCGGGCTTTGTTCTGAAAATCTCCTCATCCTTTCATCGTACTCAAGAAATAGTATTGCCTACCTTATGTACAGCTCCAGCTAATCTGGGGAAAGAGGCGTTTCATATGCTAGACATGAGAAGATGTCTATTGAGATTTTTGGAAGTGTCAAAGGAGTTTAGAAAGTCAAACTCATTATTCATACTCTTTACGGGAAATCGCAAAGGGGCAAGAGCCTCCAAAAGTACTCTGGGCAGATGGCTCAGACATGCCATCAAAGAATTTTATGGGGCATTAGACAAAGTCCCTCTAGAAGGGGTCGCAGCACACTACAAGCTCGGTGGCAGCCTCTTGGGCTGGAAGGGCTGGTGCATCTCCAGAACAGATTTGCAAAGCAGCTACGTGGTCCCATTTTTCCACATTTGTATGCCATAAGAGAGTGGATTTTTTGGCTGCGGCAGACCAGTCTTTTGGCAGGAAGGTCCTGCAAGCGGTGGTCCCACCCTAGGGGTAAGTTACTCAGTTATCTTCTCCAGGTGCTGTCCTGAAAGGCGAAGAGAGAAAACCTAAGTTACTTACCGGAGACTGTATTTCTAGGAGCTTTTCAGGACAGCAGCATCTAACCCCCCCTTTTTTATTCCTTGGGGACTATTATGTAATTCTGTGGGCATGGTGTTTTGTCTGTTTTCCAGCATGTCAGAAGTTACTTGGCTATAACTTAGGGCATGGTGGAAGAGGTGGACTTTTAATTGCGGTGTTTGCTGTGATTATGGGTGGAGCTGCGCTCTCTTCAGGTGCTGTCCTGAACGGCTCCTAGAAATACCGTCACGGGTAAGTCTGATTTAAGGTTTTTTTTTTTTTTTTTTATTGTTTTCTGTTTTTTTTTAGCAAAGTCGTGTAGCAGAATACACTTTGGCCTACATTTTATGACAATTTGATTTTTTAAATATTTTTTACTGGACATGTTTAATAGCAAAAAGTAAAAAATATTTTTTTTTTTCTCAAAATAGTCTCCTTTTTTTTTTTTTTTTTTTTTTACAGCACCAAAAAATAAAAAACTGCACAGGCGATCACATACCACCGAAAGAAAGCTCTATTTGTGTGAAAAAAGGACATAAATTTAATTTGAGTGCAGCGTTGCATGACTGCGCGCAATTGTCAAAGTAACGCAGCACCGTATCGCAAAAAATTGCCTGGTAAATCCTCTGGAGGGCAAGTGGTTTAAAAGTGTTCCTTTAATATTTTTTGAGCAGTGTATTTTCTAATGCTAGCAGCATAAGGATTCAAAATAGTCAATGTTGATTGAGAAAGTGAAGTTCCACTTTAAGATGGAGAGGAGGAAGTGTCACTTCAAAGGTAGTTCTTGTAATTCCTGGAGTTGAAATTTAAATTTTCAATAAAACTGAAGTTTGAATGTTCTATTACTCAGACTTGGAAGATGACATATGCAGGGAATAAAACGAGTTAGAGAAAGAAAAGAATGTTACGATAGGTAGAGAAATTAGCTGATACGTCTTACAAATTACTGATTTTTTTATATTTGATCTTAGATTGCTGGACAGACTCCCCTGCTCTCAGATCGGTTGGACCTTTCTGTACTGTATCAGGAATATGCTCCCGATGATCAGGTGTACCAAGACAAAATTAAGGTAATTTTACACTTTTTATAAAGTTGTTAGGGAAGTATGGGATAGTACAAATAGTATTAACTAACCTTCCCACAGAACAGCTTTTCTTTCTTTCCTATGTTGCTCTATTTTTGCTGTATCCCCATTCCAAGCCCTGGTTAGGCCTGACTAACGGTCCTCCTCAGGTTTGAAAGTTTGGAGTGGGTGGTTACATCTGGAGTGAGCGTCCCCTAATCCTCTCCTCCTTCACATGACTTCACACTGTCAGCAAGAAACAGAGGCACATAAAAGTATGCTGAGAGATTTGCAAATTCAGGAGACTGTACTGTACAAGAAAAGAATGAATAAATGTTCTTGTGCTTCACTCTGCCGAGAGAGAACTGATAAAGTTTGGCAGTGAGAGCTCAGCCTGGATGGGAGGGGGAAGGAAGGAGGAGGGAGAAAGCTGCATGTCTGTCTGTGGAGGGGGGAGTGTGAGAAGAGCTGAAGCTGTGCTGACGTCTCGGGAGCGTGCAGACTGTCAAGAGCCGATGTCAGTCATAAGAGGGGGGTGAATACCGACTTCAGTGTCGGCATGATGCTGCATGAGAGACCCCAGCCCATCCCACAGGTATTTTCTTTGATTTCAGAAGAAAGGGTGTACATTTTAGAGGGCAGAAAATTGTTTTTCTTAGTAGTAGCTCACCTGGATTCAGATTATGCAGAAAAAAAATAACCCATACTTCTTTTAAAGAGGTTGAAACAACTAAAGGATATAATTAAAGCCTAGGTTTGCCTAAAAAATTACAAATGGAACAATATGCACCACGGACATAATGTACAGTTAATATGATGTGTTGATTTTTCTCCTTTTTAGCCGAAATCCTGCTCTGTCCTACTTACATACTACTTACGTAGAACTTTGGAGAGAGACAAGTATACACTACAGATATATGTGCTTTATTCAGATTTCATGACTAGATCTACAACCACTTTAAGGCAAGGCTAAAACTCATCCTTTCTGAAAGGCTTTTGTACACTTTAAAGTGTTACTAAACCCAGGACCCTGCATTCAGTATATCTGGTCTCCCACAGTACACAGAACGTGGAAATCCATGGAAATCCAATTATTTAAGTAAATTTAAATTGCTAAATACCTTTTCTCATCAGCAGTTAGAACACTCTTGTGAGTTCTACCAGTGTCCAGCCGAGCACTGGTTAAAGCTTGTAGGAGGAGTTTTCATTCTCCTCTCACTGTCTTATGACACTGCAGGACCCCCTGACCCTCTGGATAGTGCTGATCGGCCCTGTGCTGATCACATGGACCCTCCCAAGAGTAAAAAAAAAAAACTCAGGCAATACACATCAAACTGAACATGTGCAGCTTTCCCCCAAGGCTCTATTCCATCAGGAGATGAGTCAGGGACATTGGAAGAAAGGGAGGATCAGAGAAGACAGGCTCAGACAGCCTTTAACAATGCAGAGGATTAACCCCTTAAGTTCCCTTGTGAGTATAACATGTATGTTTTACTGCATATACAGATTGATTTTACTGTTGTGGGTTTAGTAACACTTTAACTATAGGAGCCAGGGAAGAATACTGATGGTTCTTGTTGCAGCTTACCTAACACAACTATTTGAGAGGCAAGCCTTACTTTCCCTCTCATGCATCTTGTCTCTTGCATGACTAAGGTAGGCCATACATTATGCTATTTTCTGTGGTTGCAGGAAAAAAAAAAGCTCAATTTCCCCATCAACACTGTCAGTGTTTGGGGAAATCCCTCACACAGCACTATTGTGCTTTAGGATGTGATTATTAGCTGCTAGCTGTAATCCCCGTATCCCTGCTGAACTGGTCGAATTTCGATCCATCTATGGAGGGGTTAATGGTTTATCACACTTGCAGTTTACTAGTTAAAATACATTTGGGTAAGAGCAGAAAAAGTGATTCCAATGCATGCAAAAGCTAAATTTAAGATGCATGTCACTAGTTTTGTTATTATTTTAGGATTTACATAGAAGATATTCTCACATACGCCGAACGCGACCAGATGGAAATTGCTTTTATCGAGCATTTGGCTATTCGTACTTAGAAGCTTTATTGGATGGAGGTCCTGACCTAACACGGTAAGATGGAAATTATTTTTCTTTAAATGCTTAGAAAGTGCCTTTTCATTGAGCAATGCACAAAGGACAGGCTGTTTATTTACTTGTACGTTTATCACTGTGGGGCTCTTCTCTGTGATGAAACGTTCTTTTAAAATGCGTCTGTACACCCGCCATCTTCATAGCTTCACCTCCTGTCTTTCCCTTTCACTTTTGTAGGTTTAAGGAAGTGTCACTGCACAGTAAGGAAGAACTCATCAAACAAGGATTTACAGAGTTTACTATAGAAGATTTCCACAATACGGTGAGCACTGGCTTTGACAATGTTATCCAGACTGATCATCCCTGAGGCTTATTTGTCACTTTAAGATAATTCTGCATACAATTCTTTTGTGTTTTTTTTTTTTTGTGAGTAATATTTTTGTAATTGATGTAAATCTTTGTGTGCATGTACTGCCATTTTCTAAATCAAGCAGTATCTTGAACATTTTATATTTAATATGACCTCCAGTGTTCTTTTCCTTGTACACTCGCAGTTCATGGATTTAATTGCTGTTGTGGAGAAGCGTCCTGCAGTGTCAGAGCTACTAGCTGCATTTAATGAGCAGACTGTTTCAGACTATGTGGTTGTCTACCTGCGTCTTCTGACATCTGGTCACCTGCAGAGAGAGAGTGTCTTCTACCAGCACTTTATTGAAGGGGGAAGAAGCGTCAAGGAATTCTGCCAGCAGGTAAAAAAAAAACTGAGCTTTGTTTTTCATAGCTGACAATCTCTTGGGAATAGTTTATCAGATAGCTTACTTCATTTCCTTTCTGTATTAAGGAAAGCAAGGGAAATATTTTGATGTAAAGCTATAAATAAAAAAGTTTTAGTGTACATTTAGTACTTTGCAGAAATGTAACTTATCTGGGTGGTAAAGCATACCAGCTGTGGGATTGCTATATCTTGTGGGATATAGAACAGTTTGAGTCAACACTATGGAACTGTAACAGATCTTTCAGCAATACAGCAATAAATAAAAAGGGATATGTGCTGGCTAAATGTTAAACCGATGCAGTATACAGATGGAGCAAAAAAGTGTCCAAATACCTACAATCTAAATTTTGGAGATGCCTTAAGTGCATTTCTAAGGAAAATATATATTTTTATAACCACCCCAGGGTCTATCTTTTGTTCTCAGGATCTTACTGTGTTCTATTTTCATATAATGGAGACCTATGGTCAAACAAGCTGTCCTGCATGAAAATACAGGTGAAACTCGAAAAATTAGAATATCGTGCAAAAGTTCATTTATTTCAGTAATGCGGTGAAACTAATATATGAGACTTATTACATGCAAAGCAAGATAGTAGTTAAGCTGTGATTTGTCATAATTGTGATGATTATGGCTTACAGCTCATGAAAACCCCAAATCCACAATCTCAGAAAATTAGAATATTACATGCAATCAATAAAACAAGGATTGTACATAGAACAATATCGGACCTCTGAAAAGTATAAGCATGCATATGTACTCAGTACTTGGTTTGGGCCTCTTTTGCAGCAATTACTGCCTCAATGTGGCATGGCATGGAAGCTATCAGCCTGTGGCACTGCTGAGGTGTTATGGAATACCAGGATGCTTCAATAGCGGCCTTCAACTCTTCTGCATTGTTCGGTCTCATGTCTCTCATCTTTCTCTTGGCAATTCCCCATAGATTCTCTATGGGGTTCAGGTCAGGCGAGTTTGCTGGCCTATCAAGCACAGTAATCCCACGGTCATTGAACCAGGTTTTGGTGCTTTTGGCAGTGTGGGAAGGTGCCAAGTCCTGCTGAAAAATGAAGTCTGCAGAAGGAAGCATGAAGTGCTCCAAAAATCTCCTGGTAGACGGGTTCATTGACCCTGGACTTAATGAAGCACAGTGGACCAACACCAGCAGATGACATGGCGCCCCAAATCAACACAGACTGTGGAAACTTCACACTGGACTTCAAGTATCTTGCAGTGTGTGCCTCTCCATTCTTCCTCCATACTCTGGGTCCTTGGTTTCCAAATGAGATGCAAAAGTTGCTCTCATCAGAAAAGAGGACTTTGGACCACTGAGCAACAGACCAGGTCTGTTTTTCTTTAGCCCAGGTAAGACTCTTCTGACGTTGTTTGTTGTTCAGGAGCGGCTTCACAAGAGGAATACGACATTTGAAGCCATGTCCAGGATCCGTCTGTGTGTGGTGGCTCTTGATACACTGACTCCAGCCTCAGTCCACTCCTTGTGAAAGTCCCCAACACTTTTAAATGGCCTTTTCCTGACAATCCTCTCCAGGCTGCGGTCATCCCTGCTGCTTGTGCACCTTTTTCTTCCACACTTTTCGTTTCACATAACTTTCTATTAATGTGCTTTGATACAGCACTTTGGGAACATCCAACTACTTTTGCAACTACCTTTTGAGGCTTTCCCTCCTTATGGAGGGTGTCGATGGTTTTCTGCACAACTGTCAGGTCAGCAGTCTTTCCCATGATTGTGATTCCTACTGAACCAGACTGAGAGACCATTTAAAGGCTCAGGAACCCTTTGCAGGTGTTATGGCTTAATTAGCTGATTGGAGTGGGACACTTTGAGCCTAGAATATTGCACCTTTTCACAAAATTCTAATTTTCTGAGATTGTGGATTTGGGGTTTTCATGAGCTGTAAGCCATAATCATCACAATGATGACAAATCACGGCTTGAACTAACTTGCTTTGCATGTAATGAGTTTATCTCATATATTAGTTTCACCTTTTAAGTTGCATTACTGAAATAAATGAACTTTTGCACGATATTCTAATTTTGAGTTTCACCTGTATCTTCACTGCTGATCTGAGACCCAATAATGGCTGGCTCTGCGGTATTTTTGTCTCTTTGGAAAGCACTAATCCTATTTCTAATCTGTAAGCATTTGGTCACTGACCAGCTAACTGTAGGATCCCAGAGCAGCAGGGGAAGTGAAGTTAAGTACTCATGACCTTTCTTCTATAAATGTTTTAAATGTGTGTACCTTGTAATTATATGCACAACAGTTTAATATCTATTTTTCCTGTTTTTTTTGTTTTTTTTTTCTCTCTTTTGTCTCTGCTGATTTCCTCAACCATGGTGATGTTTTCTTCTGTTTCTCTGCTTAGGAAGTGGAGCCCATGTGTAAGGAAAGTGATCACATCCACATCATTGCGCTCTCCCAGGCCTTGAATGTTTCTATCCAGGTTGAATATATGGACAGGGGTGAGGGGGGGGAAGCACGGTCACCCATGTGTTTCCGGAGGGATCAAATCCACAGGTTTTCCTGCTCTACCGACCTGGACACTACGACATTCTCTATAAGTGACCAATTTCGAATTGTTTCAGCTTTTCCCCCTACATGAAGTCATCTTCTATTCTCTTCACCTTCTGTGCTTTGACCTGCTTCCCATTGTCTGTACATTACCCCTTGTCTGTTACATTTTATCTCAGTGGAGCAAAATAAATAAGTTCTACAGAGTGGTGAATGTATATACGTGCTGGTACTGAATGGGTAGTTGTGGGAAGCAGAGGGCACATGTCAAATTAGGCAAAATTTCTGTGTCATAGTGGTGTTCATGCTCTTGAAAAAAATTTAAACCCCAAAATGTTAGAAATGGAGACAAGAAAAGACACAAAATATTTGTATCTACTTTCTCATCAATAGAGCCTCACTATTTTCTTTCGAATTTGTAATCCTTTTGACAATCCAATGTGTATTCATTATTAAGAGTTGTGTGCAAATAGTTGCTAATTTTGTGACACTAGTATTTCAGAAATCTCTGAACCTGAGAATTAGTGTTTTGTTGGAGAGCTTGTAATTGCTATAAAACCTTTGGTTAGTGCTTTAAAGGGGCACAAGTGGTAATAACGTTGAAATAAATTTTATTTAGCATTATGCTAAGTGTTACATTACCTTTACCCATTTTCTTTTTCTGGACAGACTTACACTACATCTTTACCGTACTGTTTGCAAGCCATTATTTCTTTAAGTAACCAGTTCCTGGCAGCCTGCATTATTGAAATGCCCTTACGATCTACTCTTAACTATTCAGTAAGTGATAGCTTTGGTATAGTGGTGAATGGAAACCAGTACTAAAAGAAATTTGTATTGTGGGAGGCTACAGTATATGTTTTTGTGGTTTAGAAATGAATTTACAGTCCTTTCACACACGTCATCCGTTTTGGAAAAATAAAAGAAACTACACATGAAAAGGAAATCTTTACATCAGTTTGTAATCTGTTTTCAGATCATTTCACTGTAGTTTACATCTAACACCCCTTTTTCACACTTTTTGACGAAAATAGTTAAATGTGGACAAAACTATAAACAAAAAATGTTTGTGCTTAAAAATGTTTCATATTTTTTGGTATGTTTTCTGATGTACACTATATTGCCAAAAGTATTGGGATGCCTGCCTTTACACGCACCTGAATGTTGATGCTATCCTAGTTTTAGTCCGTAGGGTTCAGTATTGAGTTGGTCCACCCTTTGCAGCTCTAACAGCTGTCCAACAAGGTTTAGGAGTGTGTCTATGGGAATGTTTGACCATTCTTCCAGAAGAGCATTTGTGAGGTCAGGCACTGAAGGTCTGGCTCAGTCTCAGCTCTAATTCATCCCAAAGGCCAGTCAAGTTCCTTCACCCCAAACTCGCTCATCCATATCTTTATGGACCTTGCTTTGTGCAACAGGTGTGCTGTCATGATGGAACAGGAAGAGGCCGTTCCCACAAAGTTGGGAGCATGAAATTGTCCAAAATGTCTTGGTATGCTGACTCCCTAAGCGTTCTCTTCACTGGAACTAAAGGGCCAAGCCCAACCCTCGAAAAAAACAATCGCACACGATAATCCCCCTCCACCAAATTTTAAACTTGCACAATGCAGTCAGGCAAGTACTATTCTCCTGGCAACTGCCAAAACCAGACACGTCCATCAGATTGCCAGACAGAGAAGTGTGATTGGTCACTCCAGAGAACACGTCTCCACTGCCCTAGAGTCCAGTGACTGCATGCTTTTCACCACTGCATCCGACGCTTTGCTTGGTGATGTAAGGAAGCAGTTGCTCAGCCATGGAAACCCATTCCATGAAGCTCTCTATGCACTGTTGTGCTAATCTGAAGGCCACACAAAGTTTGGAGGTCTTTAGCTATTGACTCTGCAGACAGTTGGAGACTTCTGCGCATTGTGTGCTTCAGCATGCGCTGACCCCGCTCTGTCACTTTACGTAGTCTACCACTTGGTGGCTGAGTTGCTGTTGTTCTCAGTTGCTTCCACTTTGTTATAATACCACTAACAGTTGACCGTGGAATATTTAGTAGCAAAGAAATGTCACTGATAGACTTATTGCATAGGTACCACGCTTGAACTCCCTGAGCTCCTGAGAATGACCCATTCTTTCACAAATATTTGTAGAAGTCTGCATGCCTAGGTGCTTGATTTTATACACCTGTGGTCATGGAGGTGATTGGAACACCTGAATCCTATGATTTGGAGGCCTGGCCCAATTCGTTTTTCAATATAGTGTATGTCTGTTTATATCAACATGCCTGAATCCATCTGATTGATTCTAAAACTGGCAGACAGATCCAGACTGTGAATACTCCTGTGAAAGGGCCCTTATGTTTCACTTTAGAATCTTAGCAGACTGAGTTATGTGAGGGCTTGGGACTTGGTGTAAAGCGCTTATTTGCCTGTTAGGATTATCTAAATAGTTTCCTAGAAACACAGAATATAACTGGATAATAACATTTATAGGTAAAGTTGATCCAGGAAATATCCGATTGCCTCTCGGGGGATCAGGAAGGAATTGTTTTTCCCTGCAGGAGCAAATTGGATCATGCTTTGCTGGGGTTTTTTTCTGTCTTCTTCTGGATCAACTTTAGGTATAGGACAACTTTTTTTTTTTTTTTAAATGGTTGAACTGGATGGACTTTTGTCTTTTTTCAGCCAAACTAAGTATGTAATATCCCTAGTCTTGGGCACAAGTGTACTTCATCCGAACAAGATATGCATTGATCATATAGTTTCATAGTGTCCTATAGTAGAGTGCATCCTCACATTCTGGTGTCAGACTTTTCTGTTTGTGTTCAAACATGTGGCATATGGTGTGGTACTGCACAGGTTAATGTATGACCCCCCCCCCCCTCTCTCTCCCTGGTCTAAGACCTGAGACTTCCTGTGAGGAACTACATTCTAGTGCATAGAAATTAGATCTGAAACAGGCTCAAGCAAGCAGGGCAATGAAGGAAAGAGATGTTTTCACGACATTCACATTTAGCACTCCCACATTTTTGATGCAACACAAAAAAAAAAGCGAGACATGGATTGGGCATTGATTGACCCAGAATAAGAAGTTACCTGTACTGTTAGCCAATAGGGCCAAGCGATGTGAAAAATGAGTACATGGACATCGCAATCAATCAGACACTAAAAACTGCAGCCACAACACATGAGGCCATTATTAGGTAAGGCAAACAAACAGCACAGGGAATATACCTGCACTAATACCAAATTAAAAAAACAAAAACATTTGAAAGTGTACAGTGCATTTTAAATGCATTTTCAACTGCCTGAATAAGTACTTAAGTCTGTCTTTATATCAGCCTCTTGCAGCCCCCTGTACAGCGCACCTCATACTGGCAGCGGAAGACTCCAAATTTAAAGTGGTTCTAAAGGCTTGAACTTTTTTTCTTTAAAATAATAAACACATCATACTTGGCTGCGCTGTGCAATGGATTTGCACACTGCAGCCCTGATTCTCGGGTCCCCTGGTGGTGCTTTTGGCTCCCTTCCCCTTCTCCCTACTGAGTGCCCCTGAACAGACTGCTTGCTCTGGGGGCACTCGTGTGTGTGTGCTCACTCCTGAGCAGAGTTTATGTATCCATGGGATATACTGAGTGTGGCTTATTACCTCCTCACTGGCTGTAAATGACAGAAGTGGGAGCCACTGGCTCATGATGTTGTATCTTGACCATTGAGGAGAGACCTGCGAGAACTGCTGCTCTAGTACATATCCCTGGTTCGAGATCAGGCTCAGGTCATTATTGGGGGGGGGGGAGCTGCACACTGAAGGTTTTTACCTTCATGCATAGAAAACATGAAGTTAAAAAACCTTCAGCCTTCACAACCAATTTAACATTTTTTTTTCTGGGCTTAGTGCATCTACACTGGCAGTTGTACCTTTTTGTTTATATCTGCTAGTACTGCTACTATACACACAGTGGATATAAAAAGACACATGCCTGTTAAAATGTTAGGTTACTGTGATGTAAAAAATGAGACAAAGATAAATCATTTCAGAACTTTTCCCACCTTTTAATGTAACCTATAAACTGTACAACTCAGTTGAACAACAAACTGCAAGCTTTTAGGTGGAGGGAAGTAAAAATAATATGGTTGCATAAGTGTGCACACCCTTAAACTAATCCTTTGTTGAAGCACCTTTTGATATGATTACAGCACTCAGTCTTTTTGGGTATGAGTCTATCAGCATCGCACATCTTGACTTGGCAATATTTGCCCATTCTTCCTTGCAAAAACACTCCAACTCTGTCAGATTGCGAGGGCATCTCCTGTGCGCAACCCTCTTCAGATCACATTACAGATTTCTGATCGGAGTCTGGGCTCTGGCTGGGCTATTCCAAAACTTTAATCTTCTTGTGAAGCCTTTGTTGATTTGGATGTATGCTTTGGGTCATTGTCATGTTGAAAGATGAAGTTTCTCTTCATGTTCAGCTTTCTAGCAGAAGCCTGAAGGTTTTGTGCCAATATTGATTGGTATTTGGAACTATTCATAATTCCCTCTACCTTGACTAAGGCCCCAGTTCCAGCTGAAGAAAAACAGCCCCAAAGCATGATGCTGCCACCACCATGCTTCACTGTGGGTATGGTGCTCTTGTGGTGATGTGCAGTGTTGTTTTTGCACCAAACATGCCTTTTAGAATTATGGCCAAAAAGTTCAACCTTGGTTTCATGAGACCATAACACATTTTCCCACATGCTTTTGGTAGACTTCAGCTGTGTTTTTGCAAAATTTAGCTGGGCTTGGATGTTTTTCTTTGAATGAAAAGGCTTCTGTCTTGCCACTCTACCCCATAGCCCAGACTTAAGAAGAATACGGGAGATTGTTGTCACATGTACCACACAGCCAGCACTTGCCAAATATTCCTGCAGCTCCTTTAATACTGTTGTAGGCCTCTTGGTAGCCTCCCAGACCAGTTTTCTTGTCTTTTCATCAATTTTGGAGGGACGTCTAGTTCTTGCTAACGTCACTGTTGCACCATATTATCTCCACTTGATGACTGTCTATACTGTTCCATGGTATATCTAATGCCTTGAAAATTCTTCTGACTGATTCTTTTACCAA